TTCCTCTTCTTTGGAACTCTCTGGGCTTCCTGGATTTGGTGGTTTTCTTTCCCAGGTTAGAGAAGGTTTCAGCTGTTACTTCTTCAAATAAGTTTTGTTTCTTCCTCTATTCTCCCGCTAGGACCCCTATACTACGAATATTAGTCTGCTTGATATTGTTCCATAAGTCCCTTAAGGTATTTTAACTGTTTTTCATTCTTGATTCTTTCAGCTCTCTGACTGGGTGAGTTCCACTGCCTTGTCTTTGGAGTTGGCTGGTACTGTCTGCTGGTTCGTCTGCCTTGAACCCCTCAGTGCGTTTTTCAGTGTAGTTATTGTATTCTCTGTGAGGTGACTTCTCTTCAGTACATTGTATTTTCTATTGCTTTGGGGAAGTCACTATGCGCATCCATTCTTGGGAGCTTGGTGGGCGTCTGTATTAACTACTAACTCATCAGGTAAATTATTATCCCTGTTTAAGGTTTTTTCTGAAGTTTCTCTTATTGTTTTAGAACATATTCCTTTGTTTCTTCATTTTACTTGGCTCTCAGCTTCTATGCATTAGGTGAGCCACTTCTGTCTTGAAGGAATGGCCTCATGGAGATGAACATTACTGCTGAACCCTGCCCCAGGTCTTGTTAGTGTCCCACACCTTTGTGACTGTCTAGTCTATTTTAGTTTTAATAGCTCCCAGTGTTTGAGGGTGTGCCAAGACCTGTCAGTGCCCCGATGGAGAGGATCCGTCAGCACCTTGATTCGGGCTGACTGGAAGGCAGACCTTCAGGCAGCAGCTTTTAAAGTAAGCAAATATGCTTGCAGTCCCTCAGGACTGTATCTAAGCCCCAGTGGCCACCAGGGCCAGGCAGTATACAAAGAGAGATACATAAGGTGCCTGCCGGCTTCAGCAAGGCTGAGGCAATGCACAAAGATGTCTTTGCTGGCTGCAGTGTAAAGATGACGAGCTGCTGGAAAACAGAGATAAAAGAGCTGGTTTCTGCTGGCTTTAGCAAGGTAGAGAGTTCCAAAATTGCTCCCATTGGCACATACTTGCCCCCTCGGTCTGACTCCTTGGAAGACTAGCAAATGAGCCCATTCATATAAAGTCTGGGTACTTTTCAAATGGGTCTAGGGAAAGAGTTAGTCTTCCCATGAGCTGTTTCTCAGTTCAACAGCCCCGTAGATCTGATGGGTACAAGCCTCGTTAGTGTTTACAAGTTAGATGTTTTGGAGTTTGTCTCAAGTGCAGGCCTTAAAAGTTGGGGTGCCTGATAAGCAGGAGTCACTATCCTAGATTTTAAAAGTTTTTTTCAGAGAAGATTGTTGGAAACGTACTTGGAGATTTGGTGTGTCCACGGAAGGAGGTGAGTTCAGGATCTTCCTACGTTGCCATCTTGAACTGGAACCTCCTGTAGGATTTCTTTGTCTAGAATTCTCTAGAAGATTGTCCAGGAATAATTCACTGCATTCTGACAGACATTTGTGTAACTCCAAAATATTGCAGGTACCACCCCTCATGGCTGTGGCCACCTGGCCATAGTGGAATGCATCTCCGTGCCTGGCAGTAGCCTGCTGACCTGACCACTCATCTCTTCTCATGGCAGTTTTCCCTCTTTAGATTCTGTGTCAGTCAAGACACAAGGCTCACAGGAGGAAGGTGTGTGGTAGCAGCTGGTGGCACCGTGGGACATTTCCATCCTAATTTCTTAAGTAATGGAACATCCAATGCTCCGATTCCTCACTGGGCATCCTTCCCCATAGATTCCAGCCACCACAGCATTGCTTAGCCATGTATTCTTTCTAGACTTGTTTACTTTACTCTTCTGGTTCCTGGGACACCTGTCCCCTAGGCCTTCCCTCTCTTCTCTGCTCCCCACAAACTCTCAGAGGAGGAATATTTAAAGATATAGAGAAGTTTAGCTCTCCATTGTCACCTCACTTCGTGGTCTGTTTACATGTTCAAAGACTCCTGAATGCACTTGAGTCATCTACTCTGCCGTTCCCCTCTGAGCACCCCAAGAAACCAGTGGAGAGGTTGTGAGGCTTTTATTTCTACTCCCTAGAAGTCGATAAGCCAATTTAGCTTCCCACTGGGATAAAGCAAATTATTCCCATCTTCCCTGAAACTCCCTCTTAAAAAGCAGAAGTGTAGTCAGTCTGGATTTCGAGTAAGGATTTTCTTTTTCCTTAATCCATTTGTGTCAGGAAAATATTTCACTTTAAATCCAGATGGCAGTATATATTCTGCCTCACAGAAATCTCAAGATAGTTTCTTCTCCAGATTTTGTTTAGTTTAGCTGAGTGGGCTCTTCCCCACCCACTCTGGCCCCCACTGGGCAAGGCTTCTCTGTTTGCTGTCTCTGGCTTTTTTCATCTAAACATGTTTGTATTGAAAATTTTTTTTTATAGTTTAATGTGGTAGAATAGGAAAAAAAAATCAGACCTTTAGGAACCACTTCACATGCTTTTGGAAATTACCTGAGGTACAAATTAAGTCACTCTACCTAGGGTTATAGAGCAAGTTCAAGTTCAAGTCCCTCTATGCAATCGTGAGCTGGATGGACCAGAACTATGATGTTTATAAAGTTATTTCAGCCTTACCTAGTCCTGGGTTTCTTAACCTTAGAACTGGTGACATTTGCGGCTGTATAATTGTTTATGGGAGAGGGAGGGGCTGTCCTGTACACTACAGGATGTTAGGCAGCATCCCTGGTCCCCAACCACTAGAGGCCAGTAGCATATACCTGCAACCCTGGTTGTGAACACCGAAACTGTCCAGACGGAGCCCAATGTCCTCTGGGGACAAAATCACTCCTGTTGCTAAGCAGTGACTCTAATACAGATGTGGTTGTGCAAACATAGTCTGCAAATGGGGATGGACTCCAACTTAATACAAAAACGCCTGTTAGCACTGTTGGTACGCAGCACCACTGCAGGTGTCAAGTCTTCCTGACCTTCTAATCTAAAGCCGTACTACTCAGCCCTTCCTGTGCAAACCAGTCTTTGGTGGATCTTGGTAATAATGCAGCTTCTAATTCAATAGGTTTGGGGTGGAGCATGAGCTGCTCCGTTTCTAACAAGTTCGTGTGTGATGTTCCTGGTCCAGGTGCCATACTTGGAGCAGCAAGGGTCTAAGGGATGATTCGGTTCTTGGTGGAACCTTTGTCCAGACCCAGTGGCACGAGAGCCCATGGGTGTCAGTTTTGACAGAGTCCTCTCTTTGCCCCAGGCTGTTGCTGCGGATCCCACTCTATTCCTTCAGCATGGTGCTGGTGGATAAGCACGGCATGGACAAGGAGCGCTATGTCTCCCTGGTGACGCCTGTGGCCCTCTTCAACCTGATCGACACATTCCCCTTGAGGAAAGAGGAGATGGTCCTGCAAGCGGAAATGGGCCAGACCTGTAACACCTGATGGGCTGGGTCCTCTCTGGGCAGGTCCTCTTCTCTTTCTACACCGTGCTATGAACACAGAAAGGCCTGAAAAATATCCTTGATGTACAGATTTTTATTTGTAATTTTAAAAGTCTATTTTATTATAAGCTTTCTTTGCACTTAAAAATAACACTGCATTTTGTACTCTGAAGGATTCGCTCCCCAAAATGAATATATTTACTCTAACTCTATCATGGCTGGTTAATTTTATAGAGAAATTAGGGAATACACCCATACACATGCTTTCAATGCACATTATTCAGTGTGACACATATCTATCTTTTTTATATAAAACTTTTTAATAAAATATTTTGGAGCACATTGATGAACTCATTTTCTTTTTCAAGCACCAGCCATACTTGCTCAGTGTGGTCACTGGTTTTAGGATGGTGATTCTTAGTGGTGGTTTAGGAAAGGAAAAATGTAATAAATCTTGTCAAGAGAAGCTCAGTTGAGCTGGGACAGCTGGACTTTGAAGTGGTGGAGCAGCCAATTAAAAGCAACAAGCTGAAAATGAGAGGTAAGACCTTAATCACTTGTTTACTGGTATAAACAAAATGAAAAATGGAAGATATACCAACTCTGTTTTCTGTTTTTCCTCAGTGGACCAGTGCACCAGTTGAAGGGCAGGTGGCCCAGCAAAGACACGCTGTTGTCACACTGTTGAGGGAGCCCCGGCTCTTTTATGGATCCTGGAGTCATGGCAGTGGGGAGGGCTGGGAGCAGACAAGAACTGGATACTGAAATAGTGGGGAAAAGTACCTTTAGGCGTCTCCTTTCATGCTCCTCTGCTGAGACTTCCCTTTAGGAGGAAGACGACCTCAGCCCAGGGCCTCGGAGACCTAGGAATGAAATCTGCGTCCCTAGCCCACGTGACGTGTGAAAGAACAAGAAGAGTCCTTGGCTACAGCTGCAGCCAGTGAGCGTGATGCACTGTGTACCAGTCGTGTGGGGAGAGCACCTTTTCCTTCATGCGACCTTCCAGGTAAAGCCTCTGTAATGGCCTATGGTCAGGCCTGAAAAAGCACACGTAGCTTTATAACCAGGAGTTGGACTCTTCAACTCTCCCAGGTAAACCTTGAACTGCTACCTGCAGTTGCAGAGTATCAGTTTGGCTCAAAATCTATGCCTGAACAAATAAAATGACTATAGCATAGAAAACCCAAATTCCAACCGGCTTAAAACTTGAAGCAGATTTGACACATTTTAGAACATAAGGCAGAGACTGCCATCCTGTGAATGCTTATATCTTGTTTATGTTTAACTCACAAATCTTTGTTTCACGAGGCACACCTCTTTGATGTCTCTCCCTAAGATGTATCAGATAAAGGTCAATGACGTGGCTGGGAGAGGACTGTTAACCAATGACTAGTTTTAAAGTCATGAAAATTTCAAAAGATCATTTGTCACAAGTATAGATGAGCCCCCATTAAAGCTCTCCTGTCTGTGAAAAGCCAGCCTGGGCCCATTGCCCCACAGCATGAAAGGTCCAAGCCTTGGAGCCCTGCTGACATTTAAGGAACTGCCCTGATTTCTTCACCGAAATTCCTGCTGAGCCCAGAATGTTACAGGTACTTTGCCCAGTGAGAACAGACGATTTGAGGAATGAATACACTATGGTATATAAAAAATACGTATCCACAGTTACATTAGCACCATGGCCACATCAGTCTTTCCTTTTTCTCCCAACTTAGAAGGACTTGGACATCCATAACCAAACAGAGCACCTCAGAAGAGGCGACAGAGCGAAGGGAAGTGCAGAAGCAGCACTAACGGCGACCTCTAGCAGAGGAGGAGGAAAGAGGGTGAGTGACAGTGTGCCAGGCCGTGGGGGCCGCAGCTGGAGGGTCCTGGTTGCCTTTCAGCAACACCCTGGATAGCTGGAGAGAGACCTCCTTGACTGTGGGGAGGGCAAGGGGCTAAGGCAAAGGGAACCGAAGGAATGTATCTGCGGCTGTCTGCCCTGAGATGCCAGCACGAGTGCTGCCCGTGGACCTCCGGGCCCACCCACATCTGAGATCTCCCTACGAGGCCATTGGCCCATCCCAAGTCCCCTCACTGTACTGTCATGTTAATTTTTTTTTTTTAATTCTGGCTGCTCAGTCTTAGTAGGGAGTAAGTGCTCATAAGAGAAAACAAGTTTTGCTATAGCACCATCTTCTTGAAAACAGAAGGAAGCGTCCTAACTGGTAGCAGATGTGGTATGGAGGTACAATGGGGGTGGTGTGGAGACTTACTAGAGGCGGTGATTAAAGTTTACATTGTGTGTGTGTGATTCAAGAGCAGCCACCACCACCAACCACCACCACGTTTGTGACCACATCTCATAAAAATAACCTGTGCATTATTATTTCTTATTTTCATAAAACTGTACCCAGAAAACTTTGGTTTATGTACACTCACGGCTTATTTAAGAAAAATTATAATCCACTTATTCCCTTTTTAGTAGCTTGCCTACCCAAGGTACAGTTCTGGCTCCCTGTCCCCAGCTTTCTATATCCATTCAATTTGTCCTTTCTTCTCCTGTCCATTAGGAAACAACCAGTTCTACTTTAGGAGGAAATTACTTTCATTTCCCTTAAACATGCATCTCCATACTTTTTCTTAGTCAAGACACATCCAACTTTCCTTACATAGGGATTTCTCTTATTGTTTCCCGTAGTTTCAATTACAGATACTACAATTCTTAACCCTTAGTTTTTTACTAAAAGTTAAGGCTTCTAAGAAGCAATTTGTGAATACATTTCATAATTTCTAGAACCATAAGCATAGTGCATTTTTTTAACATGGCACACATCTGCTGACAGATATAGACATCTCTAGTTTTGCTGTAGTAAGAAGCCAGATGTCAGTAAGCCTATGTTCAGTAATTAATCTTACTTGGAAATGATATAGATATGCATTGAATTCCCATCAAATACCAAAAATATTTGAGTAACTTTTTAGACATGTAAAATGTAATTATTATTGAAAAGTTCACTTATAAATTTTTATCCCACTGAAGTTAAAAAAGCTAGCCATAGTTACAAATTTTGTAAGAGAGATAATGTGAGCTTATTTGACTAGAGGAGGAGGAGGGAGTCCAAGTGGAACCCACAATAAAGCAGGCTTACCCATACTTGTATCAGACGAAACAGACTTCAAGCAAAATTACAGTTATGAGAGACAAGGTCACTATATAATACTGAGGTCAGTACATCAAGAAAATAAAACAATTGTAAATATATACTCTCACCATCTAAGTATCAAAATATATTAAGCAAATACTACTGTAAACTTAGAGGAAAATAACAAAGTAATAGTAAAGGGCTTCACTATCCTCCTATAGGTAAAAAGGAGATCTTCCAGACAGAAAAATCAATAAGGAAATGCTGGGAATGAACCATACTTTAGAAAATATTGTTGGATGGAATATTATATATATTCTCTTAAGTACACATGGATTACTCTCCAGGATAGATCCCATGATAGACCACAAATCTTAGCAAATAGAAGATTCAATTCATACCAAATATCTTTTCTGACCATAATGGTATGAAAGTAGAAATCAACAAGAGGAAAGTGAAGAGAGCTACAGATATGTGGAAACTAAACAAACCAATGGGTCAAAAAAATCAGAAGTAAATAAACATTATCAAAAAAACACAAAGAAAAATGGAATTATAACATCTCAAGTCCTGTGGGATGCAACAGAAACATTGCTGAGAGGAAATTTTATAGCAACAAATGCATAATCCAGTCATCCCTTGGTATCTACAAGGGATTAGTTCCAGGACCCCACTTGGATACCAAAGTCCATGGATGCTCAAGTCCCTTATATAAAGTGCCATAATATTTGCATATAACCTATGCATATCCTCCCATATACTTTAAATCATATCTAGATTACTTATAATACCTAATACAATGTAAATAGTATGTAAATAGTTGTAAATACGATATAAGAAAGGATATACCAAATCTAACTATTTACATTATTTGCTCTTACTATGATCTTACATATAGAAAATCCCAGGGAGTCAATCAAGAAACTGTTGAAACTAATCAACATACAGAAATCAATTATGATGAAGTATCTGAAAAAGAAATAAAACTATCCCATTTACAATAGCACCAAAAACAATAAAATATCAACATACACAAACCAATCAATGTAATACATCACATCAACAAGAGAAAGGATGAAAACCACATGATCATCTCAATAGATGCAGAAAAAGCATTTGATTAAACACCCATTTATGATAAAAACTCTCACCAAAGTGGGCATAGAGGGAACATATCTCAACATCATAAAAGCTATATATGACAAAGATACAGCCAGCATAGTACACAATGGTGAAAAACTCAAAAGCTTCCCACTAAAATCCGAGACAAGACAAAGATGCCCACTATCACCACTCCTCGCCACAGCAATCAGGCTAGAGAGAGAAATCAAAGGGATCCAAATTGGAAAAGAGGTGAAAGTGTCACTATATGCCGACGACATGTTACTATATATAGAAAACCCTAAAAAGGTCCACACAAAAACTACTAGAGCTGATCGAAGAATTCAGCAAGGTAGCAGGTTACAAGATTAACATTCAAAAATCAGTTGCATTTCTTTACACTGACAATAAATCAACAGGAAAAGAAAGTAAAGAAACAATCCCCTTTAAAATAGCACCCAAAGTAATACCTAGGAATAAATCTAACCAAGGAGGTGAAAGAATTATACACAGAAAACTATAAACCATTGATGAAGGAAATTAAAGAAGACTTTAAAAAGTGGAAAGCTAGCCCCATGCTCCTAGATTGGAAGAATCAAGATTGTTAAAATGGTCACACTGCCCAAGACATTCTACAGATTTAATGCAATCCCTATCAAATTACCCAGGACATATTTCACAGAACTAGAACAAATCATAATAAAATTTATATGGAATCATCAAAGCTGAAGAGAAAGAAAGAGGCTGGAGAAATAACTCTCCCAGACTTCAGACAATACTATAGAGCTACAGTCATCAAGACAGCATGGTATTGGTACCAAAACAGACATATAGACCAATGGAACAGAATAGAGAGCCCAGAAATGAACCCACAAACTTTTGGTCAACTAATCTTTGACAAAGAAGGCAAGAATATGCAATGGAATAAAGACAGTCTCTTCAGCAAATGGTGTTGGGAAAACTGGACAGCAGCATGTAAAGCAATGAAGCTAGAACACTCCCTCACCCCATACACAAAAATAAACTCAAAATGGATCAAAGACTTAAACATCAGACAAGATACAATAAACCTCCTAGAAGAAAACATAGGCAAAACATTATCTGACATCTCAAAACTGTTCTCCTAGAACAGTCTACTCAAGCAATAGAAATAAAAACAAGAAATAAAAGCAAATGGGGCCTAATGAAACTTATAAGCTTCTACACAGCAAAGGAAACCATAAGTAAAACAAAAAGACAACCTACGGAATGGGAAAAAATTTTTGGAAATGAAACTGACAAAGGCTTGATCTCTAGAATATATAAGCAGCTCATACAACTTAATAAGAAAAAAACAACCCAATGTAAAAATGGGCAG